TATATATATATGTTTTTTTTTTTATCCAGCAGCCTTTCCTATTCATTATTTTCACAAGACAAGAATGTGTTATGAGACAAAAGCACATCTTTAGCAAAGCATACCTATAAAAACTGATTTTTACTAGTGTGGTAATGATGAAAGAGTTTCCAAATGGAACATTAACTCAGTCTGTTAGAAAATACATTGAAAGTGAATTACTTTTTTGGACTGCTTGACAAAGTGCTTATTATTGTTTATTATTATTGCTGCAAGGTAAACAAAACCTAACAAGTGGCAGAGGTTGTTAGTCTAAGCATTCCTGCCTAATGATGAACCTTTTAAGCTTATTTCTGGTACACTAACTGATCCATTGATAACTCTGATGTTGCATTAGAGAAACTGTTGCGTTGTTAAATGGAGAATGCTGAAAATGAGAATATCTACGGTACAATTCCTATAAGAAGCATGCAAATTTCTTAAATTCGGGGACATTTTGTTTTTTAAATAAAATAGAAATCAGTGTCTTTTATGACGTAATCCGATAGACCATGACAAAGAAGCATTATGGTAAAGTAAAGGAAAACAAACTGGAGTTTTTCACTTTTCAAAGGAGATTCTGAGCAGTATGATGTGCATTTGTATTCAGTTCCCTTTCCTCTAAAATCACTAATTTAAAATCTCCATCAGAAGTCATCTCATCTCAATAGTGTACAGTCAGTCTGTTGATATTTTACTCTCAGCATGAACCCAGCTGTTCTGTGATGGCCTTAGACGTTTATTAGACAACACTGATAAACAAGCAGCTTCATGAAGATCAAGAAACACAGCAGGCAGGTTAGGGAAAAGGTTGTAGATTGATTTAGGCTATAAGATGTTATTTGAAACTTTTAAATCCTCTCTGATATAAATTTAATAACATATTTCTGAAAACAAAGAGTGTAAGTCAACAGCAAACATTATAAATTAAGACTAAAACGTAAATGATTATGAATTCAGATATGATTATAATTCAGAAACACCAACCATCACACCGCTCCACAAACATGGAGGTGGAACCATAATGTGACAGCAATGCTTTGTCTTCTGCAGGTTCAGAAAAGTTTTTCATAATTGAAAACTAAATACAGAATAATCCTGGATTAAAAAAACCCTAAGAGGCTTCATAAGATGGAGGGTAGGAACCAGCAAGAAAATAACCCCAAACATAGTCAGTTAAACAGTTATACATCTATAGGCATATTAATACCCAATCAATGTTCAGACCCAGACTTTGAAAAATGTAAGACTGAAAAACTCTTTATTCACTGTGCTTAAATCTCACAGAACCTATAAAATCAAACGTGAGTTCAGACTAGACAAACATGGACATCTAGGAAAAAGAGATGCTATATGGACTAATTTTGAAAGCAAAACGACAATAAGAAAAGGTACTGAGACAGTGAGAGCAGGGGCTGTGTTTGCTATACGGCTGAGTTTTTGTAGTTTTTTTCCCCCATGTTTTTTGTGATTTGCTGATTGGGTACACATCACATTCAACAGGTTGAGCCGTTGTCTATGCTTGGGGAACACCAAACACACTAGGATATTGGGCCAAGACATATTTACCAGAATTTTAGCGGTCCCAACAGCCTTAAAAGATTATATTTAAAGCCATCCCAATAATCAGATCATAATCAGAAAATCAATCAATAATCAGATTTTCACAATGACAAGCATGAAAAAAACCTTGCTTTTTAATAGTGCACAGCATCATATCAAAACCATCGATTGGAATATCAGTTTGTGCAATATTCATATTGTAAAGACGGGTTTGAGTGCAATGTTTTGAATTTTGATTTTCTATGCTAATCTGATATGTGTTGGACAAAAATATTACATTTTAAAAAATGGAATACCTTGCAGTGAATTGGGAGATGAGAATGACAGCTGAGGGTTTTATATTAAAACTGATAAAGATATACAGCTTTATGTTCATTTTCAGCTGCTATTTTTACATAGAGCTTTAAATTGATCCCTTATTAGTTCCTGTAATATTTTGCTTTTTTAAGTTACTACACTGTCTTTTGTTAAGTCCTGGTACTTGTTTCTGTTTGTATACAAATGCAAACATATGTGCTTGTGTAGTTAATTAAGCCTCTTCTCTTCCTGCTACTCATTCCTCCTTCTCTGTCAGCCTTGACTGCAGTAGTTCATTAAAGCCCTCAACCTCATTTATGCCGTCTGCTTCCTGTCTCCCTGTGAGCCTTCATTGTTTCTCCTCCCCCACCCATCGCCATCCTCCAACGCCTGTCTCTCTCTTTGGGTCCTTTTGCCTCAGTGCACAGCTGAAATGACAGCCAGCAATGGTAGCCTGTAGGACATCCTTTTTCCTAGTTTGTGTGTGTTTAAGCGTGGTGGTGTTAGGCACGCGTGTATGAAAGAGAATTAACAAACCTGTAAAATAAGTTTGTTTTTTTACGTTTACATATTTTGTCCACGTTGCTCATGAAAAATATGACTCCATATAACTGGGTGTCTTCTTTTCATGTTACCAAAGTTTGGGCAGCCGTTTTTACTTTGGTTTTGAGTGAGACTTGCGAGCAGTGGAAGAATCACTCTGATAAATTAGTCATTTTAACTAGGCCTTGAGAATAAGAACACATTTCTGGCTTGTATGGACATTTCATACTTTAAAAGATCTAAAGTGCAGAACTCCCAGAAAGTCTTTAGAGGTCTTACCAACAGCAGCACATCACCTTCATAGGTCTTGGACGCCACACAAGAAAAAGGCTCTATTCACAATATGCAAGAAGTAAGAGCTGTAAAATCTCAAAACAAGGAACACAAGAAAAACATTTTGTTTCGTGAGAGAGAACAAATTGATTTACGTCTGGATGGATTAATTTGACCTTTGCCCTCTCTATGAGACTCCTTTCTCCTTAATAGATGTTTATTAAGGTGCTTCCACTACAATAGCTGATAAGCACTGTCGGATTTCAGCTGTTAGACTTAGACTTACACAAATTTTATTGTCATTTTGTATACACAAAGTGTATACACATACACAAAGTGTATACACAAAGTGTATACAAAACGAAATTTCATTACATACAGCTTACGGATGTAATTGATGATTGTTTTAACTTATCAGCATACCAGGATTTCTAATTATTAAGAACTAATGTTCTAGTTTGTGGTTTGATTAAACGTGCCTTTGCCATAGGCACTGGATTTTTGGATCACATTGTTTCAGGTATTTTACTCAGTTCCCAAAATGTCTACTCTGTTCTCAATTGTTTTAGTTATTAATCATTGCTTTTTCATTTTTCATGATTAGTTCTTGTATGTGAGGCATTGCAGACTAATGCATTTGACTAAAGTAAATGGCACTGTTGGCACTGTCCAATGCACTGTCCTTTCCATAGCTAACATACAAGCATGCTGACAATAAGTCCTTGACTGTCTTGCCCTCTGGCTTACCTCTGGTGGGATGAGATCATTATTACTGGCTAGCTTATGGACCTGAAGGATAGTGGTGTGGATTCATGACTTTCTGTTGGTACGGGTATGTGTATCCCCTGTCATGTCCTGTGTCCGGGCATGCTCCCAGGGGCTAGGCAGAGAGAATGATGAACATACAGTGGCAGGACCAATGATGATTGAGTGATATCCGGGCTCTCAGTACCCCCAGAAAGGTTTCAAGGTTGGCTTGATGAAGGAACAGATGGATTTAGAGGCAGGGAAAGGCCCCAGTCTTGCTATAGAGTACATCTTTATTTCAAAAGGAAAATGAACCCATGGGTAAGTGATAGTTAAAGGTTATATCTCTGACTTATAAAGAGACATTAGAATCTCTGTCCTAAACTGTTCTTTCAATCTGTCGATCTATCCTTCC